TTCTCCGAAGGGTCAACAAAAATGGCTTTTGTATAATTGTCGTAAAATGCAAATTCTCTTATTTTTGAATTGTAAAGCACGAATACACTTTAGGATTTGATGGTTTGAAGAGTAGGTGAATTTATTGAATTACGCGGGCACTTCAGCAATGAACTGATATTTTGAAGTGTTAAGTTTATTGGTAGATATGTAAATGAATTCAATCTTCTTCCACGATTTTCAAAGTGTTTTGAATGAGTTTGAAAGAAAACTTACTTCGGGCTTCATAAAAAAAAAGATAAATTTTCTCCGTTTACTTATTATCCTAAAATGGACTAGGGAACACATTCTCAAAAACTCACAATCAGAAATGGACAAGAAGGTCAAAAATGGAACTTATGTTAGTCCCAGCACATCCGGCTGCTGGAAGTAGAATGGGCTTATCAGAAAGGTAGGAGGGAATGAACATGGAGGTGAACTTGATTTTGCCTCGTTTTAAAATAGTTTGACGTCATTTTCCGCGAGCGATAGTTCAAGTAAGCATGAATTATTCACGTTTCACGGCTTCGCCTCGCGGTTGCGATGGGATGGAAAATTTTGGATATTGCAAGCGAGAGCCAATTTCGACCAATTTTTACCGCAAACGAATAAAATGGACTAACAAGGGAAGGACCCTCGGTCGAAGTGGGGTTTCCACACGTGATGCATATCATTGTGTTGGTCTCAAGGCACTGATAACAAATTCGTGTTTTTTATTTGCTCAATGAAGTTCTGAGAAAAGTTACGGATGGTTTCTCACGGATCGCCAAAGTTAGCGGCGCCGAGAATGTCGGTTGTGGAGGGATGTAGAACTGTGGCGACTATAAAGGAAGTGGTAAAAAGTTCGAAATACTTATGTTTCAAACATTCTTCCATTCTGTAGATAGTATTGTTTGATATGCATCCTTAGAGGGCCCTAAGGCAGAGAAACACCCGGCATCCGTTGAATAATTTGCAAAATTGCAAGAATGTTTGGAACATAAGTATTCCGTACGTTTTGCCACTTCCTCTATAGTCTCCGCAGCTATCCACTCGGCCATCCCTCCACAACTGACATTTCTTGGCGCCGCTAACTCAAGCGATCCGTGGTGATTCTGGGAAAATCATCACTCGTAACTTTTCCAGAAAAAATCATTAAGCAGCTAAGGAACACGGATTTGTTATTAGTGCCCTAAGATTACCACAATGATATGCATCACGTGTGGGAACCCCCACTTCGACCGAGGGTCCTTCCCTTGTAAGAAAGTCCATTTTCCTCCATTATGGACTTTCGTGGATATCATTCTTGCACTACGCAATGTTATTTAATTGAGCAAAAAGCTTTTTGGGAAGAAAGTTATCAACGGTTGAAAAGTGTGTACTTACTTTTGGGACACTGTATAAACTCAAACTAACTCTCCAAGTAGACCGATTGCGCAAAAACTTGCTCCCATATAAACAAGCCACGTCGCAGAACAAAGGCTATTTTTCTTGACGACTTACTGGGTCCTTCTATCGAATTATTGATTGTTTTTGTAAATTTGAAAGAATGAAGTCTTATCAATGGTTACAAAAGCATTTCTTTAAGCTACTGTGTATTGTAGCAGTATGTCCCTTTCTAAGTTTCTGCAAGAAAAGCGCAGTGAAAAGAAATTGTTTGATGTTATCTTTTATACAGGGCTTATTAAACGGAGTGTCGCTTGCATCAGCATCTTCGTCCCGCAGTGGACTCTGCATCTCTTCCGAGAACATGCTCTCTGATCACTTTCCCAGGGCGAGCGTGGGGAAAGGCGGAGCCCCAATCGATTGAAAGTGATTGGAAAGGATATTCGCGGAAGAGACGCACAGTCCAGCGCGGTAATGGAGATGCTGATGCAGCGAGACTGAGTTTGATAAGTTTTGTATATGCGCAAATTAATAGTGCTTTTGCCTAAGTGCGTGCAAATTTTCCGACAGTTCATATGTTGTGACTTCTCAATGTCCATTTCGTTTTCACAGCATGAGTGTAAGGACACGTCTGCGATATAAATGCTTTTTTTGACTGACTTTATAGTGACAGAAAACCAAAAGCTTTCTTGGCCATTTATGGAAAACGTGAGGCAAAACCCGGCTTGAGTTCGTTCTAGATTTTTTTGAAAACGAAGTCTCCCTGACTTTCGGTAAATTTTACGAAGTCCTCCTTGATCTTTATCCAAAACGTTGACTAAACAAACATAACCTTTGTTTCTTTCACCCACAAAAACGATATCCCATTGGATATTTGTGCCGAAAACGAAATTTAGCCTCTTCCAGCGCTTTCCAGACTATCTGTACCAGGACCTGCATAAGAAGTGATTCAAAATAACAATCACCATCCATTCTTCAATGCTTATGCGTACATTCGTGTAGGTGGGCACCTTGATGAGAGAAAGATAAACGTAAAAGAATTCAACTTTGCCAGAGAAGAAAGGAGCATCGAGAGAATTGACTTTAAAACTAAGAAGATGGGAAAAAAGATTAAGATTTGAAGAGCTTGAGACACGCTTAAAAGCAAACCGTTTTTCTTCCATTCAATTTCTTTCTCAACAGCAATATCAACTTAGCGTATATTTTTAATCACACAAGAGCCGGGCAAGGTTGGATACACCAGCCAGTTTCAAATGACCTCCATACTCATCCGGATAAATTTGAAGTTTTCAAACTTGGTAACGTGAAAGACTGCGGCGTCTTGTTGAACGCTGAGGATGAGGGTGAGAATGAATCTCAGTTCTTTCCTTTTTGTTCCTTCTAATGCTTCGTCACTGTTTTCGAGTTGTCATTGCAGGAGTCGAATAAATCACAGGCTTTCGACAAATATCGTCTTTTTTGGAGGTCTTTAATCCATCTTGAGTCAGTAGCCAGCACGGAGATGACTGACATCACAGTAAAAAGGGAAGGTCATAAAACTTATATATGACGTTTCGGTCTCTGCTGCGACGTTCTTAGGCTTTTCTGAGCATGCTTAAAACTTGCAAAACTAGATATTTGTCGAAATGTAAGATCCATAAAGGTCCATCATAACAACCTCGTTGGCAGAACGGCACTGCACATTCGATACAAAATGCCCAGGTTACAAGGTGAGCGTACGCGGAAACTGAAGAAATTTACTTTAGTTCTGCAATTTTGAGCATGCTCAGAGAAGCCTAAGAACGTCACAGCAGAGACCGAAACAGTCATATACGTAATTTATAACCTTCTCTTCCCATTTAAGCGAGTTTTAAGGTGATCGAGAGCAAATTTGGTTTTTGTGATTTTTCCGGATTTTCAGGTCTGCGTTTTCCACGAAAATCAAAATGGCTATCTATTGGCACGATTTCGCTCAGTTAGAAAGATAGGGTTACAAAACTTTCCCGTCTTTTTCTGTGACGTTTATGACCCTTTTTGAGCATGCCCAATCACAGAATCGAGCAATTAAATAATCTCCATACTCAAAAGTTCAGATAAATTCGAGAATTTCAAATTTGGTGACGTGAAAGACTGCGGCTCTTGTTTAATGCTACAATTTAAGAATCAATTCCAGTTGCTTCCTTTTCTGTACCTTTCAACACTTTGTCATTGCTTTTCGACTTGTCATTGCAGGTGTCAAATCAATCCAGCAGCACAGCTCCAGTGGGTTACCCCATACATATACAAGCTCAGATCCTCAACTCTCTCCAAAGTATTATGAAGCTTTCGGTGAAGTAGAAGAAAATCATGACTTATAATAAGCCGTCTAATCTGAGGTCTGTAAGTTGGTCTGTTACCAAATCATAATGGGAATGACAAAAATATGAGGATGTGAGGAAAAGGTAACGAAGGAGTTCACTTTCAACGAGGAACAGTTCAATCCAGTAAAGAAAGTGATATACGAGACAAGCCATCAGAACAAAGTATCTCTCGTCGTAGTGGCAGTGTGACGTATTGGTAGAATCATATGCAGCAACATGTGCATGGATCAAAATCGTGGAGTCAAGCATTCAACTGTATTAAAGTGAAGAAAATGTATCTAATTAAAAAACTTTCGACATACTGATCGGTTCATAATTATACGAACACCCCAAAAGAAATGCACTAAACCATTAGCACTATGTGAAAGATCGTAGCCGAAAACAGTACATGCGCTACAAAAATGAAAATTGGTACAATCTTCGACAAGCATTGTGCGCTAAACTTTTGTCCGGTTTATATTTATACGAACATCTCAATCAGAGCTCTTCGTTTAACGCTGCAACCTTTGACATCCAAAATTCTATGTAAGGCTACGATCTTGAAGTCTGAGACGCCGCTACGCGCTGGATCTACTAACAAGGGAACCGTGCGGACTCGAAGTGGCCTTTTCCAACGAAATGCATATACGTTTTCAGCTCCTGGCGCGCAACCTACAAGACAGCGATCCGTATCTGCCAAGCGATCCTGTGTGGCAAGATATGAGAGTTCGAATTTCTTGAGATCGCGCGTTCAACACAAGTATGCGTGGCCGTCCTTAACACGGAGTGGCGGCATAGCGCAGTGGCACGTGGTTGGACTCATAATCTTTGAAGTCTAGGTTCGAGTCTTTTCTCGGCGTCATGTTTGCATTTCTCTTTTTTTTTGTTTTTAGTGATAAGGCGATCGTCCTATCGTCATCAAAAACAATATTTATTGCAAAAATACAACTGAAGCTGAACATGATAGAGACTACTTTTTAGGAGACCTTCTCAATTGGGCTGTTTTTATCAGACACTTGGAAGTCTGTTCTCTTTATTAAGGCTGAAGCTCTGCGTTGCCCTAACTTGTATTAATGTCTTTGGTGATAGTGTTCTTTTTTTGGATCAGCGAAATTCTTTCGGTGAACATACGACTGGCTAATTTTTGAAATTTTAGTAGCCGTATTTCTTCCAAAATAATCCAGTTTCACCAATTGCTACCGATAATGATGCTGAGAAAATGAAAAATTTATTAGAGCTAAACACTAGAACACAAACAAATTATCTAGCTGCACGTGGGATATCTTATACGTGCTTTTTCGTTGGAACTCTAACAATAGACAAGCAGGAATTTGGAATTTCGCGGAAAACTTGTGTATACTTGATTTTGCAGAAGTTTTATAGCTGTGCAGCGTTGATTGTCACAAACAGGACGGTGAGACTGGAATGAAGAAAGGTGATTCATAAAGGTTTTTTGATTAACTTACTAATCCTGTATTTTATTGAATGTGCACTTTTTCTTCTTTCTGCTTTTGGAAAAATCATAGTCAAACATACCGGTGTCATCGTCTAAAAAATTCGATTATGCAACAAAAGTGCTTGCCTTTCTTATGCGCCCACTCGTCAAAGATTGCTTGCAATCATTTGTCCATTGCTAGTAGAAGACATAGGCAATTGGATTTTTATTTTTAGTTAACGAATTGCTGGATTTTGAGCCCTATCGTATGATGCGCCGTAAGATTGACAATGATTATGATTATGTGGCATGCGCGTAAACTTCTTGTTAATGAAAGTACATTTTCTGGAGGAAAAGAGTGATAGACCTAGTACTTGAAATACTTTAAAAGGGGTACCAAAAATAAGCTGTCAGCACGAGCAGTCGCTCAGGCTATTCTCTCTATAGAGTGTTCTTGTGCAGTCTAGAGTTTTCGTGTCCAACTGTTCTGGCTTTTTGTAGGTAAAATTCATATTTATTCTAGAACGTTTTCGTGCCCACAAAACCTAAAAGTCTCGAATTCTACAATGGCATGGGATAATGTCACGGGGCTTGGAGGCGTGAAAGATGGTCTTGTTTTTACTATGAGATCTGACAAAACTGCACCTACTGAGGAGTCTTGAGAAAAATGTCAAACAAAAGTTACCTATCGCCTTTTTGGGGCCAAAATCAAGATAAAAATTTGGAGCTTTTTAAAAAAGTTTAGCTGAAGAGAAAGTATAAAATGCTGACTTGGACAAAGCAAAGTTTCATTTCAAGTCATTATTATTCTTAAGCATCCTATTAAACATTATTAAAAAGATAACAAATGTTTAGCACTTGCTCGCGGAACTAGGTGCGGAACCGAGCTTTTTACTGATTCACTTATGTACTTACATTTCTTTGCAAGTTTCTAGAAGTCTTTGTGACTATTTATGAAGTGCTGGTTATTAGCATACATTGACAGCCAAACTTTTTGGTAGTCCTGGCATCAACTTACAGATCAGATTTCTGCCAAACCAAGAACTTGCAAAACTACTCATGGTGTTTGATGTCAGAAAAATTTAGAAAAACATCTCAAACTTCCGACAAAGTTACACCTCTTTAAGATTAAATTGCAGAACATGCGTCAATATTGCATCAGGCTTATGTTCTTAGATTTGAAGCTCTTTTCGTAATTTTTACCGTTGATAATGAGTTTTGGCGGGTTTTTGAACAAATTTCTGCAAATTCTGTTTCATTGGTCATTTTCCGTCTTTTATAGAGATTAGCATCTTTTTGACATACCTTCATCACGCTCGAGTTTACTTTTTGAACCAACTGTTTTGTTTTTCATTTGGACTTCTGAAAGATGAGGCCAATTTTGAAAACTCACTTATGCTCAGGGCTTAAATTAGGTAGTAGTTCCTAATTCTGAACTCCAACTAAAATGCTTTTTGTCACCTGCAAGATTTTCTAAGCATGATGTATATATACTTTTTTCGCGATAGTCGGGAGATTTTTTCCACAGATCCTCAAAAGAAACTATACACTTGGAGTTCTGGCATTTTCATTTTACCATTATAAGTTTGCGATCACTTGAACAGTAGTCCTTGGATGAACACGTGCATAAAAACACCTTTTCGCGCATAATTTTGCAACCGTCCTTTATCTTCAAAACGTACATTTAATCTAGACTGATGAATTGACAACAATGATGGATACATGTATGATGGATACATATAAGAGTGATCATGCCACGCAAACATGAAAAGGTGAATGATTAGAGCTGCAGGAGCACAGTCGTCCTCTCTAGAACGAGGGAAATGGTGTAAAAGAAAAGACAGACGAGAAACTTAATGTGAAGGCTAATATTCGATTCAACGGACAACATTCTGCACGAGGTGCGAGCTCTAGTCCAAACTTGAATCTACTAAAACTTTTTAGAAGGCCCTTGCTACATTTTGTCGCAAATGAATTTTTTCTAGTGAAAGCTGAATGCTACAAGAGCTGTGTTTTTCAGAGCAAAATTATGGCAAGAAAGCATTTAGATAATCTTAGGGATTGACAATTTGCGAAAAAATGGGACAATTCTTCGCATGAACAAGTAAAGCACTCGCGATACTTGATCCATTTGATCCACTGTCCACATCATCCACTTCGCTATTGCTTGAATTTGTGAACTTCACAATAGCCAAGCGAATGAAAAGGATCAAGCATTGACGTGAAATATGTGACGTATGCTCAAACTGCATTGCTGAAAGCATTGCACTTCATTGCATTCAGATCTTGTTGGATTTACTTTGTAAAATTTGCTAAAATAGTATCTCACCTTTTTTGAAATCCATGGGCCACCTTCAGCGAAGCTTCCTGAACGGCACCGACTTGTCATTGTAAAAGTGCAGAACGGAGCGTTTCGTAGAGTTTTCTAAAAATAAAACTTTTACTGCTGGCGCTGAAAGCTTAAATGAACAATCTACACATCGGAGTACTGCGGTAAATGATTGTATACTCTGCAGAAAGATCTGCAAAGAACAATTAAGACACTCGCCATACTTGATTCATTTGATCCACCCTCCACATCATCCACTTTGCTATTGATTGAATTTGTAAACTGACCAATAGCGAAGCTGATGAAGAGGATCTACATTTAGGATTGAAAGATCTAAAGTAACTGGCGAACGAAGTGACTGCAAAATGCAGTCAATGAGAAGAAGACTCATAAGGGAGAGCATGAAGTCGAAGTGGCCGATCACCACAAGTTGAATACCATTAGTGAGGGCCTGCAATGCTGATTCCGATTCTGCTTTTTCTATTTGCAGAGCATTTCTGGAAAAGGAGTTATATTTTTGAAACGTAAAAATGAACAAATTTTGGGATAAAAGTCGCAACAGCTTCTGACTAATGAAGCAAAGACAAGTATCAGAATATTTTATACATGAATTAGGTATTTCGCCTAATATATCATTACTTTCTATTGCTCCAGGCTACGGGCTAGAGGCCTAGAAAAGCTTATTTTATCCCGAAAATTAGTCCGTTTGCTTGCCCCAAATAATGCATAAGTTCTTTTCCAGAGATGCTCTGCATCCAGCTATTACTACAGTATGGTGTTTGTGGTGATCGATCAATTCGACTTTGTAATCCTCCCTTGTCAGTTTATAAGGAACGCCCATTGCAAAGCTGGCCGTTGGCTTCCTCTGGAGGAAGCCAACGGCCAGCTGACAGGCCCACAGTTTCGTGCCAGGTTGTTAAACTCTCTCTCGGCGTTCTGTTATGTAGATGAGACCTGGGCCGGTACCACAGCCCGTCCGAAGCTTTACGGACCACCCACAGGTCTTAAGCGCCGCCTTTGAATATTAGTCGACTCGTCGACACAATGACATCTCGCCGAATTCCGCAGTCAGATTGAGAAGAGAGGAGATGCTCGCAGTGCAAGTCTGATGAGCAAGCGGAGTCAAGACAGTTGTTATTGCAGAGGTAGAGGAGCGGAGAGAGGGGAACGAGGGGCAAAACCAAACGAAGAGCAAATTCTGTCCCCTGCAAGTCTACATCTACACAATTTGTCTCGTTCAAATGTGGATGAAGTCTCGAGCAGGACTAGGAGTGCCAGCTCATATCTTACGTGGAATTTGTATACCACACAATGCATAAACAGAGTGTAAATGGATAAAATCCGACTGTTAATTAACCTTGGCATTATATACGAATACTGCTTAAGGTTATTTAAGCTTGACAAGGAGGTATAGAAGTTAATAAATTAACTTACGCGTTTTGACGATGTATCGCCTTCTTCAAAGCGTTGTAGCAAAAGTTTAACCGCGACAGTTAATGATTCACAGAGGGCGCCACTGTCCACCATCCTAACAACGGAAGACATTTAAATTAGGTCGGCCTTTTGAAATGAGACACATATATTTAGAATCAGCTTTAACGCTGATTCCAAATGTGCTGTCCTTAGCTGCGAAGCGTTCCTCGAAGCGAGTTATGAGCTTTTTCCTAAGCAAAGTTTGCGTGCTGACCGACTTAGGCATGCTATGGTATCGTCACCCAGCTAGTAGCTCAAATGCATACAACACCCTATCAAAGCCTAATGACTCAGTTTGATGTTATTTCAATTTCCCACCACTTTTTAAGGCAGATTTGCATCTAAAGGCCTTCTTTCCATATTCAATTATATGTCAACTAGCTTGCTTACCCGACTCCGCCCGGCCCTGTGAAAACACTGTAATAAAGGTCCCATCCCTATCCCTGTACAGTATACTTGGGTAATTCGATAATTTTTCATCGAATGAATGAATATCGAATAAATTCGAAAATAAAAAATCTCGAATAAACGAATATCGAATAAATTCGGCAAATCAAAAATATCGAATGAATGAATTTCGAATAAATTCGGAAAATCAAAAATATCGAATGAATGAATTTCGAATAAATTCGGAAAATCAAAAATATCGAATGAATGAATATCGAATATATTCGAACATTGGAAGTCGAATTTCGAATAAATATTCGAATGATTTATCGAATAACCAAAGCAATCACATCTCAAACTTGCCGACATATCTGGCTAAAGCCGATCCAATCATAATCAGCCCCCTAGTATCCCCTATACCAACTCCTAGCTCAAAATTTTCTAAAAATTGCTGAAATCAGTAAAATAAATTTCGGTTTTAATCAGCACACTTACCCCTTTGTACCAACTCCCAACCTCGTAGCTCAAGATTTTCCTGTTCATCGGAGACTTTCGTGTTGCGTGGTATAAGCTTCGTGGACGAAGGCATGTGGTTTCCTTCGCGAAGCGAGCACGAATGCCCCTATAACCCCGGGCATACTGCAGCCATTTCAGTGGCGACGTGGTATGGCAATACTCAATCGTCCAGAACCTATTCTGAAAGTACAGAATGCAGGGCATTTATTATTTTAGTATGTTCTACGCGCTAAGCATTTGTGGTAAGCCGGCGTTACATTTGAAGACATCTCGTAACTGGCAAATCGCGTACGGCGATCTAAACCGTCTAATCCTGCACTACAACTGCGAAGTCCTTTACTCAGTATATACCAATTCGCAAAAAAACTCCGAAGTAACGAATAGGCAGTTTTGCATAATTTATGCGAGCAAGAGTGCTCACTACTGTGGGCTTTGCGTACCGCAAGCATGAGCATGCAAAGAAGGAAGAACAGCCATTTCAATTCAGTATGAACTCAGAGCATGAGCTTGAATTTGATATCTTCTTTGCTGATTTGGTGCCAATAGCAGTGCGAACAATCTCATTGATCGAAAAAACATCAATTAAAATCCACATATGATGTTTTTACTGTCGTAAGCAGTCGGAAGAATGCGACTTTCCATACAGTTCAAAGGTATACCGCTTGCAAAAGATGCATTACCGAGTTTTGCGAAAAAAAAACGCGGACGAAGTGAGCTTGATACTTAGCAGTTGGCTCTGCAACAAAGTCGAATAATCTGAATACGGAGTACATTCGAATACGATTTCGAATAAACATTCGAATAAAACATCCGAATAAAATCTATTCGAAACCCTATTTTTTGATTATTCGAGTTTCGAATTTTATTCGAAACCCCGTTCTCTCAATTATTCGAGTTTCGAATATTATTCGAAAATGGAAAGAACTCCGAATATCGAATTTCGAATACGAATATATTCGAATGTTTTATTCGAATGATCGAATTTCTATTCGATTCGGACCCAAGTATACTGTACAGGCTTTCCCTGTGCCCACTTCTACACTTCATTTCCCGTTCCCTGTGTTGATTTCGAAATCAGCATGCCCACTTACCCCTCCTGTGCCAACTCCCAGCCCTGTAGCTCAAATTTTGCAAAAAATCGATAAAATCGATAAAAGTAATGGACTTTCAAAAACTAATATTGTATTCGGAATCAACATGCTCGATTACCCCCCTGTGCAAACTCCCAGCCCTGTAGCTCAAACTTTGCAAAAAATCGATAAAATCGATAAAATCGATATCGATCGATGACGAAAAGTAGCCTATGACACCCGCCGGGCCTGAAGTGTATGTGTGCCAAGTTTGGTCCGGATCGGTTCAGAAATGGAATTTTCTATTCGGAACATACGTACACACAGGCAGACATACATACAGACAGACAGACAAACAGACATTCAGCTTTATATATAAGATTGCACATACTAAAAGCTCATAACTTGCTTCAAAGGAATGCTTCGCAGCTAAGGACAGCATATTTGGAATCAGCATTCCGAGCTGATTCTAAATGTATATGTCTCATTTCAAAAGGCCGACCTAAGTTAAGTGACTTCCCTTTTAAGATAGCAGAACTGTATAAGCTGACGTGACCCTCCTCCGCTGTATATTTATAGTCCCCGTGACGCTGATAAGCTGTAGATTACTTATCATAGCTATATTGGCATCTTTTCGATTCATTTGGGGAGAACAAGCGGAGATGTAGAGGGCTTCACGGGTTCTATGCGCTAGAATTTCCGATTCTTGCATTGAAATTGATGCGGCGACTTCTATGATAGTGTTTTGATGGTATTCCATACAGCCTCAAGCGGAGTAGAGATTTTGGACTTTTCAAACCATCTAGATGTTCTTTGACACAAAAAACTAGTGGACGCCATGTTTCTCCTACGTAAGTAGCCCCGCAAGCATTGCATGTTATCTGGTAGACAACGCCGGATATCATATAATTTCCCTCTTTATCTGGGCAAACTGGGCAAGCACTGGTCATGCAGAGACGATCATAGCAGCAACTACGCGCTGGCTGTTGCTTGAGATTTGCTGTGGGTATCACCACCCTTACCATATCTTGTAAGTGTCTGGTTACAAGATATGATAAGGGTGGTGATACCTACAGGCTTTTGCGAACCTCCGGACTTATTTAATCTGAAACAAAGGGTAAGCAAAAGAAAATCTTTCGATCCTCGAAACTTGTCCGTCTAGCAACAAAACGTCGAGATTTATGGAACTTTTGTAAAAGGTACCCTTTACTACTTGCTATATTGTCTGTCATTTTCAAAGAATGGTTGCGTTTTTGTCGTCCAGATAAGACTTGCAAAGCTGGTTCATACATATCTTTGATGACAAAATCCTTAAAGGCAGTGTCTCACCAAAGTTGAAGTCGCGCAAATCTTCACATATTATCATAGGGACCTCTAAGTAGGCCACTGCAACAAGTCCCACTCAATTTACCCCCTCTACGCTGGGAAAAATTCGCTCAAAGTGGTACGCGGAGAGCGATTTGGTACGCGTGGACGACTCCTTTGGTCTCCCTCCTTACGCGTTTGAACATGTCCCTCCTCTTTGCATCCACCCCCCCCCCTCTGTTCCTGCCACTGTAGCTGAGGCTGAAGTTGGGAGGAACAACTTGTCCACGTTGCTTCCGCGAGGCCTCCAGAAACGGGGTTTTTGGGAAATTCATGCGATTTTAA